CCCCAAAACCCCAAAACCCCAAAACCCCATGAGATGAAATCAGTTGAATTCGCTCAGAATAGTGAGAATATTATTTATGAAATTAAAATTATTTTAAATTTGGAATCAGTATTATCATTCTCCTTGTAAATAGTAAATCCAAGAAGGAAGTCCTCTGGTTGAAATTATCATTCTACCAGTCTAAGGTAAATCTGGTTTAGCATCGTATTTTATCTGCAAACTAGTTGTTTTGCCAGGCTAAATAAGTATTAGGTTTAAATTAACTTACATCGATAGGTCCTGGTAGCTTTGATGCCAGAGAGAAATTAGGGTTGTCGAAAGTGATTTGGAATTCGCACTTCTCGTTTAGTGGATTCTTAAAGTCGATAGAAATTGGCTTGGCACCTGGTACACACTTAATTGGACCCTAAAGAAATATTTAGACTATTATGAATAATTACCTGTGGAATTGGAGCAGTTGATTTTCCGTAGAGTAAGCATGTATATTCCATACCTTCAGGACTAATGAGCTTAATGATAGCTCTTGCATCTCCGATTGTGAATGGTTCATATCTGACATTAACTGAAACCTCTAATCCTTTAGGAGAATCAGCAGCGGCAGCTTGTACCTATGCAACTTCAGATTTGAATTCACTTAAGCCTCCTGGTTGGTCAAGCTTCTCAATCTTAATTGCGTATGTGGTAGGTTTCTTCAAGTAATGAGTAAACTTGAATGCTTAAACTAGATCTTAGCCAAGAGCACATTTGAATGCAAGTGATCTTTAAGCTGAGGCTGGAAGACCCTTAAGTAGGAGTTTATATTTAAAGTCACCAAGTACTGGATTCTTAAGTACAAAGTCAACTTCTTGCTCAGTTTGGTTGAGAGGTCTGTAGCTGATTTCAAAACCTCTTTCTGACTTAGGTGGAATCTTAAGCACATCTGGAGTGACATCTAAATACTCATTTTGATAGACGAATTGGTTCTTTGCAATTGTTACTTCAGTGTCTGTTGGGTTTTCAATTGTCACAACTTTGCTGATTGATTCTCTTATGGCACTGGAAAGCTCAATTTTCTCAATTAGATCAGGCTCTGTAGCTTGAACTTAAACTTTGTAATGTAGGTATTCTCCTGAGCTTTCATTCTTAAATGTAATGTTGAACTTGAATAATCCAGTTTTGTAAGTCATGAAGTTAAGCTTGAAATCTTTGTTTGATTCTCCTGCTACATCAAGCATATTTGCTCCTCTGATGAATGTTGTTTAATCTTATTCTCCTTCCATAAGCCATGATACTTTGAATCTTTGATCAGTCTTTAGCCAATTCTTAACAGGGATTATCAAGAATTTCGACTTCTTGGCCTGTACTGTCTCTTACAAAGTTGCTTCTGCTTCTGGTTCAGTTGCAATACCATTGAGCTTATAGAGCAAAGCAGTTCCATTTGGTAATGGGAAGAAAAGACTTCCTTTATGTGAATCATATTGATCAGCAGCATTTTTCTTTGTCATAGTCTTAGGAGTGTAAGATATTTCGTACTGAGCAGTTTATTTAGGTGGAACTATCAAAGTTGATCTTCCAATGAAGTATCCTGAGCATGAATCAGCTTCAGTACTAATGGTTGGATTAATAACCCATTCTTTATCTTCAGTATTCTAGATTGGGACACTTTGTTTTGCTGTCTTTCTTACAACTGTCTAGAAGTTTAGTGTTTGAGTTGAAGATTAGTCTTGCTCGACGCATTTACCCATTAAGTTAAGGAATAGTGATTCACCTCCCTTGATCTCACATTTAACCTTATTGCATCTAATGTCAGGATCAGCAAGACTAGGATGGAATGTAACTTCAAGGTCAAGATTGGAATTTGGTGCTACATAACCACTCTCAGGATTGATAGTAAAGTATTTGTTGTAAACTTTGCTATCCCATTTAAAGTTAGCTTTTACATCTCCAAAGTTTGAAAGTTATAGGATCTTTGTTAATCTACTTCCCTTCACAACACTTCCAAATGCAATGACTTCATCCATAAGTTTCAATTCGATGCCATGCGATACTCCTTAAACTTATAGCAGTTGCTTAGATTCATTATCCTTGATGTTAAGCATGATGTCCATGTTATAGTTAGGCATTCTATTCTTTGGATTGTATCTCACTTCAATAGGGACTGTTTCTCTTGGTTTAAGAGTCATCTCCTTGTCTGGTGTGAAAGTAACTTGACACTTTTTGAATAGTTCCTCATCACTTGGTTACAGTTAGAAAGTGATGGGTTTCTTGCTCTTGTTTATTAGTGGAATGTGTCTTGTTACATCTCCTCCTACAGATACAATTCCAAAATCAACAATAGCCTGATCAGGATCAACTAACTCTAGTTGCATTGGAATACCCTCCCCAGTAATTGTTACATCAATTGTGTATAGATTATTAAATTCGAAACTAATTGTTTCTTAATATTTCTTAATTTCTCTAGGAGTGAATATAATAGGAATCTCTAATTTAATAGGATTTTCTTTCGTAGATGGCACTAATACTTAACCAGGAGCCAATTAAACATCTAAATAGGGCTTCTTTTCAAAGTTAGATTCAACAGCAATAGCACTATTATCAAGGTTAATAATCTCTAGAATTGTTTTCTTTGGCATAGGTTATCTCATTACAAAGCAAGGGCCGAAATCATAGTTGTTAAAATTAAGCTTCATTCCAGGTTTTCTGGCATTACCGTTTAAGAAGAAATCATATTTGGGACCACTGACAATATTTAGGGATAATTTGTAATTCTTGAGTTAATGTTCAGCCAAAGGCAAATAAGTAATCTCGAAAGAGACTTCAGATCCTTTAACTACAGTACCAGTTTCGGGTGTTATTGTAATGTACTTATTGATTTGTCTCTTCCACACGAAATCAAAGTTGAATTCTCCATTGTTTTGTAGTTATACAGTCTTTGATTTCTTTTCATTGATGAAGAAATCTGCAAAGTCAAACTTGTATGGTTCATTTGATTGAACTTGTACTCTGTTGATATCAGCGAAAACTGAGTGATGAATTTTGTAACCTTCTCCTTTGACATTGAGAACAAGTGGTCTAGCCTTTCTCTTCACGTTACAAATTAGATTGTAGTTGTAAGTAAGTTCGAACTTTGGTTGGAAGAGGATCTCGATTGGAATTTGTTATTAAGGAGCTACAGTTCCTTGCATTGGATTGATTTTTAGTGAGTCACCATAATCAGGACTTCCTCTGACACTCTCTTTGGAGAAGTTGAAGCTGAAAGGTATCAATTCTTAGTTAATAATGTTCACAACTTCTCTGTTCCTTCCTTCAAGGAGTAAAGGACCGAACTTGATCTTTCCGGTTTCAAATAGAACGTTTGGTTCTATGACTCTGCCAACGATCATAAAGTGCTGTACAATCTTTTCTGCTGGAATTTTGAATAGCCAGTATGACTCATGCTCTCCGACATTATCTGGAGTATACTCAAAGATCATTTCTGCTTTTTTGCCACTGAGAATAGAGCCTTTTGTTGTTACACATTTGAACATAGGTTTGAGTTTCTTGTTCTCATCAGGCACTTCTTCCCACTCAAAATCATAGCCTTAGCTTGTTGGATTCACTGCCATAAATCTCTTTGTGTTCTTAATGTTTGTGCCGAGTGATTCGAATTCAATGATTTTGTACTTAGAGTCAATCGGTACCATGTCCTTTTCCTTTCTCTCCTTATAAGTGCTTGGTGGTAATTCAAAATGAATTATAGGTCTTTCTGCTACACCGTTGCATTCAATAATTAATGCCTTTTGTTCAGGAGAGAGGTTTTCAATGTTGGCTGAAAGAATTCTAGAGAAGTCATTCTCAATCTCTACTGGAGAGAACTTAACGATAAAGTTATCATCACATCCAGCTGAGATTGCACCTTTCTTTGGAATAATGCTATAAGGACCAGCATCTAAGATTCCTGTATCACTATTAACTATCTTGAAGTTATAGTTGAGTGTAATCAAAGAGGTATTCTTGATTGTAAACTTGTATGATCTGGAAGCATACATTAAAGTTGGCTTGAAGTCGATGTTTTTGATTTGGCAATCATACTTCACATTATCGCAGACGAGTGTTGTCTTGAGAGGCACTACTTTGTCAGTTCCTTCTAATTTTGTATGATCTATTTCTTAAATGGTCTCAATCAATTCCATAGTTGGATCCTCACTCATGTCAACTATTATTTCCTCAACTTTTTCTTCTTGGCCTTTTCCTGCTGGTTTGGCAGGTGGCTTTGCTCCTCCTTTGGCACCTTTTTGAGCTAGAGCAGCTGCAGCCTCTGCTTCTTCTCTTCTCTTTCTTTCTTCATCTTCTCTCTGCTTCATGATTTTCTTATATTCTGAGGGTCTGACCATTCTCATAGTTTTCATAGTATCGTCCCAATCTCTGTATTTGGCTCCTGTTTCTGGATCTTGCCTTTACTCAATGCAGTAAGTTTCACATAGCAAGTCTATCTTGTCATATTTTACAGTTTTAGTTGACTTAAAGACAACCTTGATCTACTTAGATGACATGGCTTTGATGTGTCCTACACTTGGGAAGAATTTGAATTCATCTTTATCGCCTTAGTTCCATCTGAATTTGACTGTCTTATCTCCGTTATTCACTACTTAGAAAATGGCTGATTTCGTTTTGTTGACAATGCAGTCGCCAATTACTAATTCATCTTCAAGGTTCTCAGGTAATCCCTCAAAAGTAACATTCTCTTAGTACCCTTCACCAATTATCATTACTTTATGCTATTCGAAAGGATTGTGGAGAGTATTGAAAGTCAATAGGAATTTCTCGATTGAGGCTTATTTAGGGCTAAATCTTATGTCGAATGCTTGATAGGACTTGGGAGTAATTGTATGGTTAAGACTGCCCATAAAGTTGAAGCATTCATTCTTTATTACATCAAATCTGGCAGTAGCAGCGATTGAACCCTCATTTTTAAGGACGATGGATAGTAGGGAATCTTTACCAATTCTAGTCTTTCTGAATTTGAGTAATGGTGTTCCATCAGCTTCAGTCTCTTTTGGTTTCTCAACTTATAATGTTGGTAGAGTACCTTCTCCTCTCAGCTCAAATACAAGTTTGCCAGTTTTGCTTGTTGGATCTCCGTTTTCGACTGTTGCCTCGAATATACCTCCATATGTCATCATACTAGTTGGATAGAATCCTACAGAAACATATTTGTGCTTATGAGGTTCTATTTGCAGAACATCTGGTTTGACATCAAACGCAAATCCTTCACTCTTGCTTTGAGATCTTGGTTTGACTGCAAATTTAACTGTGCAAGGGATTTTGTTTGGATTCATAATCTTGAACCTTTCTTTAGCTCCTTCAGTATTTTTAGCTGCAATCAGAGTACCAAACCAAAATAGTCTCTCTTAGATTGAGAAAATACTTGAAGTTATCACAGTTTGAGTGTTAGATGTTGGATCAAGTGAGGGGATAACAGTTTGTTCTTCAAAGATTTGATCTAGATCTTCTGTATTTATTCCTGGAATGGATGACTCAGCGCATAATTCGAATGGAATTCCATCTGGCTGATCTGCGGGATCACGATTGGCAACATCAATAGCAAGGGTTGATTCGTAGAATTTAGCTCCCTTAGCCTTGAAGGTAACATTTACTAATGCTGCACTTCCAGGAGGAATTTATCCGATTGCAGGGGTAATTGAGTATTAACTAACTTCAATAATACCTCCTTCAGGTGGTGCATCTTTTCCTTTAGCATCTTTACCTTTAGGTGCAGGTTTTGCTGGTTCTGGCTTCTTCTTAGGATCCTTAACTTCCTCTTTTTTCTCTTCGAAACCACGAATTCTTTCTTCTAGTTCTCTTTGTCTCTCTTCTTTGATTCTCTTTTTCTATTCTTCGTCTTTGAAGTCGCAAATGGCAAACTTGAATTCAAACATTCCTTCATTTCTAACTTCAAATGTTCTATTGATTTGTTCTCCATATTACATGGGACCGAAGTTGATATTCTTGAGAGGTGTGATAGAGTATTTACTGAAGACTGCATTTACATTCACATTGATTGGTATTGAGTTGTGTGTCTCTTATGATTTACCCTCAAGGATGTTGAGCACGATATCTGATGTGTTCTTTGAGGTCCTAAGTTTGATTTCTTTTTGAGACATAAACTTGACGACAACATTCTTTTCTTCATTAGGTTATAGTTCACCTTCCATTGGATCAACTGTAAATATTTCTCGTGTCTGTTTCTTCTTCATTGTAAAGTTGTATTTTACAGGATACATTCCAATGTTCTTTAAGTACAATTTGTTTTCTTTTGGTTCACCTACTCTAACAGCTTCATAATCCAAAATCTAATCATGACTGAATTTCATATCGAGGGAAATCTTGAAAGCCTCAGCCTTAATCTCTATAGTTTTATTTTCTTGTTTGATATTATATCCTTCGGTGTCCTCAACTTCCAGAATGATTTTCTAGCTGAATTTCTTTTCTACTTTCGCAGTAAAGGTTATTTCAACTATTTCTTCTTTGCATGGTTTGATCATTCCATTGGTTTTAGAGACTATGAATTCTTCTGGAAGCTCTGTAACACCAGATAGCTTCCACTTCACTGGGATAGAAGTAACATTTTTCAAGGTCAGGGTTTTGGTCATCTTCTTTTCTAGTAAGAGTCTGTCAAATTCCACTATTTCTTGGTCGACATCAACAACTGGCTTAGCTCCAAGGCATGAAATACTGAATATTACTGGATTTGGATTATCTTTGATAAGGCAAATAATCTCATCCTTGAAGAGCTTTGCTTAATCTGGGAATGCATACACAGTCAAGTGCTTAGTTTCATCAATCTTTAATTCCATAGTATCTGGTTCTAGAATGAAAGGACTCTTAACAGGTGCCTTTTGAGTTTAAGCCTATTGCCCTTTAGCTTAAGCAGCCTTAGGGTCTGGCTAAGCAGCTTTACCTTTGCCAGCTCCTTATAACTTCTCTCCGGCTCCACCTTCTTCAGCAGGTAAACTACTCTTGAGACAGAAAGTGGCTTGTAAATCATACTTTCCATTATTAGATATCTGAAGGACACTGGAATTGACTCTTTTCACAACCTCGTCAGTGTTACGCTTTTCAGGATCCTTGCCAATGAGGAGAGGACCTAAATCAAACTCGTTCTCTGAAACAACAAAGCATTTTTAGAGATAGCAATCTGGAGCTTGAGGTGGTCTAGTCTTCTTCTGAGCCATGAATACGTTTCTATAGTTGGAATTGATGGTCGGGAATTCACAGATAGCATTAATATTCAAGTTGAAAGGTCTGTATGATCCAACAATTTCAAATTGCATTACTTGATCGAAAGATCCTATATTCTTTGAGAAGAATTTAATGTAGAGTTTCTTTGATTCCTTAGGTTGAAGTATCCATCTAGTAATTGTATTTGCCATTTCAGGTAGTTTATCTTCCTAGCCCTCAGAGGGTGTTTGAATTGGCTGTGTAGGAGTCCAAATTGAGAATAGAGTTATGGGAGTTCTCTCATTTCTATTTGGTGGTTTCTTAACAATTTGATGGATAACTGGAGGAGGTAATGGTTCCTTATCTGGATCAGGCCATAATGGTTCAGGAACAAGCTTTTTAGCTTCATCGCAGATTTCTCTAATAGTATTTCCAATGGATAAGTCGACAAGAATTCTCTTTCCATACTGAATATTCTATTGATTTTTCTCTTAATCTGCAGGTTGCTCACCTTCTTGCTATTGAATTTAATCTTCACCTTCTAAAGGTTATTAGGCATTGTCGTCTTGATTCATTTGTCTGATAATGATTTCAGCGAAGAAGTTGTTTAATTCCTCTACAAACTTGTGATGTAGCTCTTTTTCCTCTTTAGTGAACTCTTTAGGTTTAGGTTCATCTTTGGCTTCTTCTTGTTCATCCTCGCCCTTGTTCTCCTCAGCTTCTCTTCGTTTTCTTTCCTCTTCTTCTTTTTACTGTTATAGGAGTAGCTCTTCATGTTTCTTGCGTTCTTCTTCTTCTTTTTATTATCGGTTTATTTCTTCTTTAGAGGGAGGTTTACCTTTTACACCTGCTTTTGCCTCTTCCTTTGGAGCTTATTTTCCCGCAGGTGCTTACTTTGCATCAGCTGCAGGATCGATATGAACTGCAGAGGTATCATGAACCTCATGACCATCTTTCTGGAATTGGAATAAGACCACTTGAATATTTGATGTTGTTATTGATTCGCAAATTGACTCCAAAGCGAATTTGAGATTGGGCCAATAAGGACTTTCTAAGCAATCAAAAATAGCGCCTGCATTACAATCTTCTTCTTTCACTCTTTCAGCAATCATTTCATTAAGGAGTTCCTTGGTGAAGAATTTGAACTCAGCAGGGTTAACATCTGGTTCCTCATCCTTGACTTTCTTACCCTTTTGCTTCTTCTTTCTCTCTACCTCTTCAGCTAGCTTTCTCTAGCACTCTTCTTCTCTTTCTTGGAGATACTTTGTCGCTTTCCCAGCTACTGGTAGTTATCTCTTTAGGCAGTAATCATAAATCTAATCGAGTCTGACGACACATCTTTGATGTTCTTGTGCAAGATAATTTGCCACTGATGTTTTACCAACCTTTTCAGGACCAATAAGGACGACATAAAGTCTGTTCTTTTCTTTCACCTAAGGTGGGTACTAAACCTCAAGAGGCTCACTCTCCTCTTCTTAAAGTTTAGATTCAACATTTGCTTTTTATTCTTAGTACTAAGCTTTCTTCTCGTTGTGCCCTTCAGCTAAAGGCTATTGCTCAGCCTCCTTTGCCTGTTCTTCTTTAGTTAAAGCTGAGAGTTGCTCATCAACCTACTTTAGTTTTTTCTTAAGGTCTTCAACTCTTCTCTTTTTCTCGTCTTACTTTCTGATACTACCCCAGAATTAAGTACCTGGGACTCTGAGAGGCAAGAATAATGGCTCTACAGTGGGGGCTTGCTAATTTTGTTGTGATTATTACTATGCTTGCTATTAGAATTGATCAAGTCTCTTTAGAATTTCCTCTTCTTCAATGTATTGCTTATCAAAATCTAATGAGTATACTTCGATGGGTTGATCCATAGGATTTCTCATTTCAATAACTTAGATAGCACTGGTATTATATGGTAGGACCGGGCCAAGTTTAGCAGCTTCTGGATTGAAATCAACTTGATAGTTGACACCTTGACCTTTGACATTAAGGACGAATTATTTGGGATTATCTTTGCATTTGAATGTCAATTTTTAGATGAATGGCTTGTCTGAATTGGGAGTAAACATGACATCTACTGTTTATCTTTGACCTGGAAGGAGTGTTCCAGCTTATGGAACAACTTAGAATCTTTCTCCTTCTTTTGCAACTGCTGCAGCTGTTGCTATATCTGGCTTGTAGTAATATGACCAATCACAGGGAACTTCTTTTTGATTTTCAAATCTTACTTTAATGGTCTTTCTGGTGTTTACACAGACCTTTCCAAAATCGATATTATCTGTAGACATGGCTAGTTCAGGGATTGTAAGATTAGCTATGAACTCAATAGCATAGGATGGACCATATTTCACATCAATTGGTACAACATTCTTGACTTTACCAAACTTTGCATTTTTCCTAGTAGCATAGACAACGTTGAATAAAACTGAGGAGTTTGGCATGACTTTTTGAACTTTATCTGGCTCAATGCTAATGCCAGCAACTGTGAGAATTTTCTTGTCGAAATTGAAGGTAACTGGGATCTTACCGACATTTGTGAATCTGAAACTCTTCTTTTTAGTGGAACCAACTACTACATTGCCGAAATCACAAGCATAGTTAGCGATGGTAATGTTTTCAAGATTTACAGTGACACCTCCAATGCCAAGAGTTGCTCCTCCATGTACTGATTGCTTATCATCACCATTGATTGCAAATCCTGCAGAGCTCTTTAATGGAGCTACTCCTTTCTTGAGAGTTGGAGTTTTAGCTTGTCTCTTTTATTGCTAAGAAGAGCTTTGAACTTCACCTACTGCTGCTGAACTATTGTTTTGATTAGCTACTGCTGCGGCTGCTAAATTCAACTATGTTTGACTTAGCATAGCTTGTTTAGCTGAAGCCATATCAATTTGGTTCAAAATCTTTTCGCAGAGAAGTCTTCTGTCTACTTCAGCTTCTACATCCATTACGAATGGCTCCTTAATGAGAGATTTATCCTTCTCAATTGCTTTTGGTAGTGGTGGCATTTATTTCATTGCTTCAAATGATTGGAAAAGAGCTGAGTAGGAGACTTTACCTTTAGTAATCAACTTCTTAGTATCCTCATATCTCTTTTGGAAGTCATCATCATCAGTTCTTGGGAATGATAGCAAGCATCCTGGGTAAGTTCCAATAGCTTTCACTTTGAATCTCTAGGCTGGGAAATGAGCACATTCAACAAGGAACATTTCATCAATGTTGTCAGGAATACCAGGGAAAAACTTAACAATGACTTTGTATCTTTCTCCAGCTGCAACTTTACCAGTCATAGGGTGGCATTCAATCAGACCTGGTCTTGAGACAGTTGATAAATTGATGTTGAATTAGAATGGTACTTTTCCAATGTTTTCAATGAAGAACTCTTTTGATGAGGATTCGTTATATGGGATTTCGCCATAGTCTAGCTCATTTGTTGAGAGTTTGTAAGATACGAATGATGACTCTCCAACGATTGGAACTTCATAGTCTGGACCTCCATCAACACTACAGACAGCTATTCCAGTGTAGGTTAGACCATGACCAGAGTAATAAGTGAATTCTACAGTCTCAGTTTGACCTGGCATAAGAATTCCACTGACTGGTAAGATATCAAATACTTCATTGATTGGAAGCATCTTAGACTTTTTGCTCTTCTTTTTCTTAGATTGCTTCTCTTCTTCTTGCTTAAGAGCATTTAGTGTTGTGATTTCTTCTTCAAGGAAACTCCATTCATAGTTAACTGGCATCTCTGATATGTTAGTTAGAGTTAGATACTTCTTCTTTGAAGTATCATTTAGGATACATCCAAAATCAATGTTTGGAGGAAGGATCTAAAGGTTAGGGAAGCATACTTCTCCTTAAAGGAGAACAACATCTTTTTGTGGATGTCCAATGTGTGAGATGTTAAGCTTTCCTGAAATATTATCTGAGAGTCTATCTTATTTCATTCCCGGATCAAATTTAATCAACACTTGGTCAACTCTGTTTGGAGCTAGTGTAAGTTTTTCAGTGGCACAACTGAAGGGTGGATCAATCAAGAGGTTGATTGATGTTGGGAGAGGTCCAGAATTGGTAATGTCCAAGGTCTTTGAAATTGGCATTGAGGCAACACCCTTCTCCCAGAGATACTTGAAGTATAGTTTAGCTTCTGAGAAGTTCAATTGAGGAGTGATAAATTCACCTTAGACTGTGGTGTTGTAGACAGTTTTGGGTTTCCTATCACCACCAACAATGACATTGCAGGCCCAGGTTTCAATTATCTTACCAGTGTTGAATGAGTTCGCTCTGAATTGAATCATGATACCCATCTTGGGATTGAGTACGATTTAATCAGGCACTACAGCATACACGAATTTAACCTCTTCTTCTTTCTCGATGTTCTATCCATTAGAAACAACTGACGCATCATTGCCAGCAGTTCCTGTTTTCTTTACTGGTGAATCAGTGCTCTTGTTTTGATCAGTCTTTTTAGGTTATTTTCTGTCAAGTTTGGTTGTTCTTTGCCATTGAATTTTCATTTGCTTTCTTCCTCTATTTTCTAGGAAGAACTCCTTAGTGATGTTATTGTGAGTATATTCTGTACCAAAATCGACTTGGTTGAGGTTATCCTTGCAAAAGAGAGTTGATCCAACACCTTTTGCTTTTAAAGCAACTTCAAGATCAACACCATTGTTCACAATAATGTGCAATGTATCTTGGAACTTTTAAACTTCATCAGCATTGCAAACTACTTCAATCTCTTTTTCATCATCTGGTTTTAAGACACCATGTCTTTAGATCACTTTCCAGATGCTTTCTTTGTTTTTGGTAAAAGCAGTATATTCAGCTGGGATTTTAGATTCATTCTTAATTATTATCTTTTCGATGTAATCCTTGAGAACATCAACATTGTTGTAGTCAAGCTCTGATTTGTTTACAGAGACAATTGGTCCGATTGAGTTGGCTAATATGGTAACCATAAATGGAATGTGATATCCTTCTACCTTGATGTAGAGAGGGATTCTAATGTTGCTTAAGATCTCTGTCTTCAATGTGATATTTACTACTTATGAGGACTTAGGGTTTATAATTCCAGATTCTTGATCTGCTTAGTAAACTGCAATTCTCTTTGATTGATCATCTTAAGCTACGATTTCGTACTTTGCTTTAAGACTGTCATCATTGATGATTTCTATCTTTTTAGTCTTTGGATGTCTGAGGAAGCAAGTGTCATACTCAAGGAAGTCTGAAGGCACAACTCTAACTTTAGGCACTAAGCACTCAGCTTTTATTGGAACAGCGAGCATATCTTGTCCGACACCTTCTAGATCTACAACAAGGACCATATCGTATTATTGAGGGAAGCATGGAATAAATTCAATTGTTATTTGAGCTTCTTTGTTTTTCTCTAGTCTACCTCTATCATTGGTGATATTGAACTCAGTCTGTAGACTTCTACCATCTCCTGGCACTCTCACGACGTAATTGATTTCTACATCAGAGGTATTTGTAAGATGTACTGTTTTGTAGACTGGGAATTTGTAAGATACTTTGCCAAAATCGATTATTTCCTCTGAAAATTTGAATGTTGGCGCCACAACATGACCTTTAAATGTCAACGTAAGCATTTCTGAGCTGCCCTCTAATGCGAATCTGAATGTCTCAGAGAACTCTCCCAATATATCACTCTTGAAAGTCACTCTTATTAAGTCTCGAGACTTTTCTTTCACTCCAAGAACTCCTTCAGTTTTGCTGAAGTGGAACTTCGATCCAAATGGTGTTTCGTAAGGTATGAGTTTGTAATGGCAGTCTATTTCTCCAGTGTTTTCGATACCCACGTCAAACTCATTCTAGTAGTTCACGAAGATATCACCGATATCCATTTCAGTGATTGATAGTTGGGCTTGGGGACCTTTACCTTGACCAGTCATATTGAGAGGCAATCTTTCCTCAGAACAAGTGATATTGCAAAAAGCTGTGCATGAGTAATGATATGGGCCTTGTGGTTTAAATGTAACGCAACAGGTGATCTCAGTGTTTGGCCATATCTTTCCTTACAGAGGTTCAATTGAGAAGATTTCATCTTGAAAGAGCATTAAATCTTCCTCTACAGCCTTTCTAATCGATTAGTACTTTCTTGCCAGGGTGGCAATGGCTCTAGAAATAAAATTTAAATTTGAATTTTCCTTACTTTTACTGAGCTCTTTCTTGCTTTTTATTTAGCTCATCTTCATCATATGAGTCGTCGCTGTCTAAACTCTCAGCCATACTCTCTTCGAGGTTAGACTCTTCTAGAATCATTCTTTCTTCAGCTTCCTCCTGACTCAGTTGAAGATTGAGTCTTGATTTTTTCTCATTTTCTTCTCTATCGGTTGCAAACGCTCTCCATGAAAACTCGACTGGAACAGAGCTCTTGTTTACAATTTGGTAGTATTAGTGGGAATATAGTGTAATTGAGGTTGGCTCCATGTGAATATGAGTCTTGGACAAGTAGACGTTGTCATTATGACTCTCTCCAAAGATAGGGACGACAGCTTCAAGCTTATCATACAGCAATATTACTTCATCTTTGTAAGGCCGACTCTCTTGGGGAATGAATTAAAATACTAATTGCTCTGATTGACCCACTTCAAGGATACCTTCTTGCTTGTTTATTTTGAATCCATTGGGTACTTTTATGTGCCATTTTGTTGTCTTATCACCAATGTTTCGAATCATTACAGGTTTTTCGGCTGTGTGCTTTACTGGAACGAGCCCGAAATCCAGACTATCAGGGAAATCAAGCATGGCTCTCCATCCAACTGCTCTGATGGGTACAATAAACTTTTCTCTTTCTGTGACTACCATCAAATCGTAAGAGTAATCAATCTTTGCTTCAGGGGAGAACTCAATCACGTATGAAATTTCCATACCTGGGGCGACTCTGCTAGACATGATATCGACATCGCTAGGCTTCTTGATAGTTGAGGTAGGTCCATTAGTTGTGCCTTTTAGGCCTTGGGATTTTTTACATGGTAGGATTTAAAACAGTTTCGAATCGGGTGGTATTATCTTTACCGATCTTGCGACCTTATCCTTATTTCTAATCAAATAGGAAAGAATTAAATAATTTGAAAAATTAAGAAATAGGGAGGAGCGTTGTTGAGTAAACACCCCACAGGCGCTTGGTTTTCTGTACTTACCTTAGCTTTAAAACCTGTTATTTTATCTGCAATGGCTCATAGTTGGTAAACTATATCACGTGGGGGACAGGCTGAAAGAGAGGCTCATCGACATGGACTTGGGAGTCAGAGTAGATGGAGCTATCTCCAATGTTTAGAAACTAGATAATCTTAGGCTTAGGAAACTATTCAATAATGCTTTTTCCTGATTCTTAATCTTTAATTAACTGACTTGGAACCTAACAGATATTTTTCAGAAAAGACGGGTATCTTACTTTCTTCATTGCTTAATTCTAAAGGTTACGCAGTCTTTTTCTGAATTATATAAGTAATTTTATTAAACAATTATCGATACTCAAACCAAAGGATATTAATTTAAGGCGCTTTGATTTGCTGCAGAAAGAATTCAAATAAATTTAAATTTCCTTAATATCCTTAATTGTTTATTTTATTTTCCTATTGGCTTAATGCCTTCAATTTACATCACACGGGGTTTTGGGGTTTTGGGGAGATCGGAAGAGCACACGTCTGAA